ATAGTTTTTTATCAACCGTTAATTGTTTCACCGTCCATTTTTTTTATACAAAACTGATTTGATCACATAGCTATTGATATCCGATCAACGTGATTTTTTACAGGCATATAGTACTCGACGAGTTCTACATATTGAACTGTTCGAATTATAAAAAACGGGTCCAAAAATAGACCTCATGGACCGAACTGGACGGGTCCAGTCTCGATCTCAACTTGAGACAAGCCGAACCCTTATATAAATATCATTAGTTCATTCATTCGAGCAAACATTGGCAGTATTTGGGAACCTGTTAGACAGGCTATTTTAGCTTTAAATTACAAAAAAAAGCCTTTTAACCTTAAATTGCCCCGCTTAACCCATTGACTTAAAAAAAAAAAAATGGAAAAGCAACGGCTGTCCAGCAGCACAAACAGCCTACACTGTCACTAATATAGTGTAGGCTTCAGATAGTTAAATGACGATTTTATCTCTATTGATCAATTTTAGAAAAAATAAGATTAGGAGCAAATTTATCATTTCAACCTTAAATATCACTTCAAACACATTTTTTTAATACAACAATCAACCAAAAAATTTAATCTAACTTTTCAAACACAAAAACTAAAATAACCTATTAAAATAATCAAAAAATCAAATAATTTATTAAAAAAAAATTCCCCCCCAAACACACACATTATCATAATTATGTCAAGATCCAACTATTACGCAAATGTTAGACAAAGTTTTCAGAAAGGAAAAAGAGTCGCATGAAAGGGCAAGAGAAAATCATCCATCTCGTGGTCATCATGGTAAGTGGGACTTTGTTTAATTACAAATTTGTCCAAAAATTTGACTGCTGTGGAATTATGAAACTTTAGTAGGGCCTCTTATACACAATTACCCAAATTTAATCATTGTTACTAGTAAAATATTTTATTTTAATGATATTAATACATAGGGAGCCGCTATTCATACTTAACTTTATTTTAAATACATTTAGTTCTTTATCTTTATTATACATAGTTACTATTCTCACTGTATTTTTCTCAAAATATACTCATTTTTATATATAATAAGGACAAAAAAATAAATGTATTCAAAATAAAATAGAATAAGAATAGTAGCTCCCAACGCATAAAAATCAAATATTGAACCCAGAGAGTCTATATCTTTTAATCTCAAGCTGGAGCAAAAAGTTGCTTGTGTGTATCGTTTAAATAAGTGACAAAATTTAATTAATTGATAAATGGATTAAATAACATATTAGAATCTCAAATATAATTAATTAAAGATCAAAATTTTACGATCATTACCCCCTAAGGTTGGCGCCTCATATTTTACAACCAGTGGCCTCCAACTACAAACCCCTAATATTGTTACTTCCAACCCTCACTTTTTTAGTACCACCGCTTCCAAATTTATTTTGAATGATACCCATATATCTCTTTGCATCTCTTCTACCACAACCCTCATTGCCACTAATTCCATTTTCAACATTCATTCTAATCCCCATTATTACCATTTCAATTCACTTATTTCACTACCGGATCTCATCTTTAACCACTATCACCACTATTGCAACCCAAATTGGCATTAGGAAGCATGGCAAGTTTCTTGCAAGTTCCATTGTGCAATTTGTACGAGTACGAAATAATTCTTCTCGTACGATCTTGTTGATCAAGTTTGCACTCCTCCAAACAACGTTGCTTTGCCACCTGAAAACACAAACGTGAGGTAACCGGCAGGTGTGTGCCGGAAACCCCTCCGATGCCTAAGTCAGCAACTAGACAATAGACAATAAGCTCTGTGTATTTTAGAGTAAGAATTGGGATACCTGTACAGAGGTCTGGTCATGAGCTTTTATAGACTTTGCTTGGCACATTCCTAGTAGGATTCCAACTCTCCCTATGAGAGTCCTTCTAGGAATCACACACCCTACTCACTACCAACCAAGTGAGATGGTTTTATACAATCCTAGTAGGACTTTACTCTCCTTAGCAGAGTCCTTCTAGGAGTCACACTCCTACTCACCACCAACCAAGTGAGATGGTTTGCACAATCCCAGTAGGACTCTAACTCTCCTTAGCAAAGTCCTACTAGGAGTCTCATCACTGCAAGCCAAATGAGATGGCTGGACCCTTTACCTCGGTTATACATTTCTAACCGAACTGCCTTATCTTGGTCCCCTGCCATTCAGACCGTGTGATCGAAAGCCAATCTATCGAATGCCACCCTGTCGAGCTATACACAGCTCGGCCCTCGCCATTGATGTTACCTTCTTTACCTCGGTTGACATCTTTACCTCAGCTGACATTGCGGTCAACCAAGTTATTTCGGCTCGGTGATACTTTAAGTACCACTGTCAGTCTTGACTCTGTGATGACGCCCTGCAGAGCTATCCTTTAGCTCGATTCTCCTCCCACTGATACCTTGGTTTTGTCTGTTTAGACCAAGCTAACTGCAGCAGTCTCTGACTGAACTAACAAGGACGAGGTCCAACTTGTGAAGCCCAAACACCTCAGCCCATAGTTCGGCCCAAATCCGTAATACGAGATGTCTTCTTGGCCTAAGACCGAGCTACACCAGCCCTTATTTCGGCCCATTGCGCGGCCCAACTTCCAAAGAAGACTTTCCTAGCTCGGCCAAATTTTCTTACAAATTACCCTCTCACAATTCAAAGTAATTCGCGATAGTGATTTTTTGGTCCTTGTAACACTTTGGTACATATATAGATAAACATTGAATTAAATGTCGATCCTTGCAACACTTTGAATTGAAAATTGGTTTTTTGGTCAAACCTTAGCTCCATGGTGCACATCAAATTGAAGACAGCGATGTCTTATTTTTCATTTTCTCTTATCATTAGGGGTGTTTGCGGTTCGGTTGCGACTAGAGAACCTCCAATCTGCCATCCGCCCACCGGATTAGTAGATTGGAAATCAATCCGCATTCGTTCGCTGAATTGACGGATGTGGATTGAGCGGATTGGTGAATTGGTAGATAGACGCAAATCGGTTTAGCGGTTTAAACTTTTACATATTTTGAATATAATACAACAACTTGTTAATATTTTTTTGGTGGATAACAATCCAACTCAACATAACCAAAAGATTATCAAGTAAATTATCAAATACCAAATATAAATACATATAAGAAAACTATGCATTATCAAAATTATTTCATTATCTTTTTTATTCAAAAATTATTTAATTTGATTTTTTAAAAAAATGACAAAATTATGTATTATATTTTTTACATGAAAATATCAAATATTAACACTTGTCATTTGATAAAAGGATTTCCAAATTGAAAATAAAATGAAAATACAATAGAATATCTAAAAAAATTTCTTAATTGAAAATACAAACAGAATATCTAAACAAATTAAAAACACAAAATTTGACAAGATATTAGGGGTAGTCGCAGTTTGACGGTTTGATTGTGGCCAAAAGAACCTCAAATTCGCCATCTGTCCAAAACTAAGTGGATTGAAAAAAAAATTAATTCGCAACCGTCCGTTTGTCATCACGCATTCATCCAAAATGCGACAGATCGATTCAGTTCGATCAATTTAAGTAGATCGGAATATTCGCTACTCACCCCTACTTACTATAACCATTCCATTGAGCTAGTTATTGGGATAAGCCTTGGTGTTTGTTAAAATGTTAGGATAAAGAAAGCTAAGTTGCGATTTTAGTGAGTTTAGTGTTGAAAAATTAGTGGGAGGACCTTCTATTTTGTTTTAAAGTTTTTAAACATAATTTGTTTTTTCAGATTTAAAATTTTGAGTTTATTTTGTCTTTTTTTATACTCTTGTAACATAGGCCCTGTTTGGGATATGATTTTTTTGGCAAAAATAGTCAATATAGACAAAATAGGTTAAAATAGTCAATAAAATAAAATAGACTAAAATAATCAATAAGACAAAATATCGCATCCAAACTATAATTATTTCACTTTATCTCACAATTATCAAATCAACTACAAAAAATGACAACTTTCATTCTAAATATGATTTTTTTAGTCAGGTTAAATAGTTAAAAAGTCAACTACAATAACCAAGTTCCCAAACATGATCATAGTTAAATGCTGAGGATAATTAGAAGAGCCAGTAATTTTCGTATAATAATGGAGTTAATTGTAATATTGATAATTATCAACATGTTTGTGTACTTTGGTCTCAAAAATAAAATAAAAATAATGGCTCTTTATAAATTTTGTTAGGCACAATTTGACAACTCAATATTTTAGTTAAAAAATTATAAAAAAAACATAAAAAAGCACATAACAAATTTTCAAATCATTTAAAAAAAAAAAAAATCTTCCTTATTCAACGTAACTTTTATACATTTTTTTTGGCAAAATGTAAAAAAGTCATTTTTCATTCATTTTTTTTTGTTATAGGAAAATTCTCGCATCCATCCGTAAGTCTAAGGTAACATTCATGTCGAGATAATTAAGATATCCTATTGTTCATTTTGGACGAGAGACTATAATCTTGTATTGATTCCTAACACAAGTTTCAATTAAGTTAGAACTTGCACAGTAAAAGAGAATCGAACTCATACTAAAGAGTGTTTTGAGAAAATAATTAAAAATTAACTTTTTAAACTTTTTTTATTATTTTATATGAGAAACAATATAATCTAAAATTAATTTTTAACTTTTAACCGATCTTCCAAAATGACTCCTAAATACTATATTAACAGCAACTTAAAACCCCTCTCTCCTAATCATCTGCGGTACGTGCGGGGCATAATTGATTATTTTTCACTGCCACATTTTAATTAAAAAATCAAAGAGGACTAAACTGTGAAGTTGAGGTTAAATCTCGTAAATAAACAAAAGTAGAGTGGCAAAGGTTGAAGAAGGGCTGAGAAAGGGCGGCAGCGTTCGAACAGAAATATTGTTCCAATTGGCTGTTACAGGGCCCCGCCCACAGCCCCACATCGCCACTCCCAGTGACACAGACATTTTCCAGACACCAGTATATCAAAATCAAAATATATACACAACTCATTCATTACATATTCCTATTTATACGACACACCAATCAAAAAAGAATCTCTCTATTTTCTCTCTCTAAGTTTTTTCGATTCAATTTCGGGAATTCTGTGTTTTGAAGAAGAAGATACACAAACTAAACAATAATTAAGGCCAAAAAGCGATTCAAAAAAAGCTAATAAATTCGTCTCTCTCTCAGACAAAAGCAAGTAAGTAATCTGCCTTGCTTTCTGTTTCTTATATATATGTAGTGCTTGTACTACTATTTCAGATTTGATGTTGATGCTTATTCATTGCTGTGATAGAGAGCTTATTTATTTTGATTCTTATGTGTTGCCGTTGTTCTTTTTTGTTTGTGTGAATGAGAAAGTACGTAATAACTTTGATCGATCTGCTTCGTTCACGAATTTCGATTCTTTTTTATGGATCACTACTGATCTCTTGGGCTGAAGATCTTGTGATAGATTATTAGTTGTGCTGCTGATCTTTCTGTGATCGATGATTTGGTGTTTTTTTTTTATTTTTAAAATTTTGTTACCTCTGTTTGTTCTTGTAAATTAGTAGGAATCAAGATGGAGTGCTTAATTTTTAATTTGTTTCTACTCAGTTTGTCTGATCCATTTGTTTCTTGTAAAAAACTGTTTGATCTGAATCTGATCGGTCGATTTTCTTCACAGAAACTTCATTGTATTCTTCGTAATGTTGTTCATCAACTTTTGATCTATATTGCTTTATTTTTTTTAATCTTCTTTTAGTGTTTTTTTTTTTTCTTTTCCAAGTCGACTAAATATATATAATAAAGGAGTTGGATTTACTCTTGTCATAGTGGGCTGTCCCTGACCGGGCCGTGGGGATCCACTGCGGGTTCGTTTAAATAATACGAATTTTATTTTGTATGTTTTTTTGTGTATATTATTTTTTAAAAATTGGGTCAATCGATAATCGTAATCTATTAAATTTATCGCATTTGTGTCCAAAAAATTGAATGACAAATGTATTTTTTAAAATAGACCATTTGTTTGTTTTTGTGGCAAACCTGATAAATTGAATAGGATATGATTATTGAATTGACTTAATTTTGTGTGTGGATCATATATACGGAGGATCCTATGAAATGAATGTTCAAAACATTAAAACGGGACTCGTGGTGGGTCTCAAGAGCCTGGAAAGCACCCTCCAGTCCAGTCCTATAATAAAACATGTCAATTTTTGAAAAAATGTCTTACATGGCATGGCATAGTTGAGCCTAAAACTTGAATAAATCTAACAATTAATTTTTTTTTCCAATATGGCATAATTGAGGGTTACAGTTAGTGTTGTTTAACAAATATTGGCTAGTGTTTTATGCATAATATAAACAAACTTCTAAGAATCTAAATTCATTTCCATCCACCATCTAAAAAAAAAAAAAAAATCATTTCCATCCCATCTCTCTGTAAATTATTTGGTGAGAAGTCAATAGGAAGGAAACTTAAAAAAAAAAAAAAAGAAAAGAAAAGAAAAAGAAAAATAGTCAAATATCATGCGTTTACAAGTGACAACCCATTCTTAACCGCTACCATTCTAGTTATACATATATATATATATATATATATTTGTGTGTGTTTAATGTTAGTGTCCATTTGATTACAGTGAAAAATATGGTGGAAAATGAAAGTCACATGAAAGAAAGAAAAGTGAAAGAAAAATTTTCTAATATGCATTTGTTAAGATGAAAATTTTGAAACAAGGTTAGCTACTTTCATGAGAAAATAAACCTGCCTACACTTTTTGACAGAAGCTGAGAAAGCTATTTTGATATGGGTTTTACAAAATAGTAACTTTCTTGCATTTTTCATCATTCTCATGCTAAAGAAATACTGGAATTTTTTATTTTTTATTATTTTTTTTTCTTGTATTTTTCACATCCTAATTAAATTTAGCCTTCAAGAAGTCGTAAATTCATTCATTTGTCTTTATCACTGTTGTTAGGGAAAATCAATGTGATTCCCCACAAGTAAATCAATCAATGGGAATAAAAACTAATGCGGAAAAATTAAATCAAAGGCAACACAAGAATTTTTACGTGGTTCCCTCAATGTGAGGTACGTCCACGGGATCGAAATCCGATTCCACTATCAACCAAATAATTCCAAACGATTACAAACGAGACACTAATGGTCTCACAAAACACCCTTAGGTGAATTCCAAATAATCACAAATAAACAAAGAGGAAAGACCTCACCAAATAGAAGAACCAAAATCTTCAGAACCAGAGTTGAAGAAGACCCAAAATAACGAACCAAACATCAACCACACAAAGAAAACCAAAGCTTGAACAAATCAAGCACTCTTGATTTGTCTTTCCCAATTGTCAAATTCCCAGGCACTATTACCGAAGCAATATGTTTCATGTAGCAGCCGCCATTCACTTTTTTGTATATTGAACAAAAAACCAATCCTTCCAATATTATAAATTTAGGGTTTTGTACCTAAACCCTACTTGTATCCCAATTGAATTGGGCCTCCACAAATATAATATATAAAAATATATTATACTAAACCAAGTCAAATTAAACCTCTTTTAATAAATCAACTGGGTCCCACACTCCAATAAGGAGGTATACCCAACAATCACTCTGTTTCTTTGCTTTTCATTTCCTCCTTGGGGATGCAATTTGTCCACTCAAATGGATCCACTTGACATTTATTTTCTTTTTTATCGGATTAATTTTGGTCTCTATCAATTTAGTAACATCTTCATTTCATGCATCATCATCATAATGAATTCTTTAACACAAAGCAATAAGAAAATCACGCCATACAAAAATGGAAATTAGAAAATTTGTAAAATAATTACCTGTCACAGATTTGTCATTCTGACATTTTTCTAGGAATTATAATATGATTTGTTGTAAACTAGACTTTGACAAAATCAATAAATAGATAAATAAATTTTGATTAGTCCAAAATAAATTCATTGGGTCTCAATCCATTTTTTCTCCAATAATATATAAAAATTGTACGTTGACATTGAACATGATACTGTTTATATAAAAAAAATGTGAAATAGTTTAGCAATATTACTAAAAGGGTATTTAAGCTTGTTTTGTTTGAAAATTTTGTTATACATTCGAGTGTATTAAAAATAAAACCTTCAGTAACTGTAACAAAATTACTATAGTGACTCACTACAACTAAGACCAAGCTGTTGTTGATGTGGTTTGACAAACTAGCCAAATAGAGCACAGAATGAAGATGACATGTAAGGCCAGTGCCTGCCTATCCCTTGTGGGCGTCACCCAAGCACCTCCTAATTCCTCCCACAATCTGTTAAAAAATACTGTAAGGATAAGTCTAGCACATATAATCAAACCACATAAAAATGTCACAAATGTGTAGGTCAAGATGGGATTCACTTTTGGTGAAACTAATAAGGATACAACTAATGAGAACACCTTTGATGGGCTCTATCATCATAATATTTATGTTCTTAATATTTCTTTTGTGGTTTAATTTTGTGTATATAAACTTTTTCATACTATAAATATGTCTATATATACAACAAATATCAATTTGTGCATCTTTTGGAACTTGGGCTATTTGCCAGTGCCAACACAAGTTAAATTTTTTTATACGTCGTATTGTCGTATCTTACTATGACAAAAGTCAATTTTGCTAAGATTTCCCCAGAACTAAGTTATGATGTCTTATCTATCCAAAAGTAAATAAAAACATTAGAATTTTCCTTTTTCTTTTTTGAGATTGTTTTATTTTTCTTAAGCACAAATAATGTCTCTGTCTTGGACTACTACGATACAACTCTTCACATCAGGTGAACACATATTCTTGTTAGGAAACAACTTTTAATTTGGGTTTTAGGCTATTTTAATGTTTTTTATGCATCAGATTGTTGTATCTTACTATGACAAAAGTCATTTTTCCTAAGATTGCCCCAGAACTAAGTTATGATATCTTATCTATCCAAAAGTAAATAGAAACATAAGAATTTTCTTTTTTCTTTTTCCTTTTTTGAGATTGTTTTAATTTTCTTAAGCACAAATAATGACTTTGTCTTGGACTACTATGATGCAACTCTTTACATCAAGTGAACACATATTCTTGTTAGGAAACGACTTTTAATTTGGGTTTTTTAGGCTATTTTAAGTAGTTTTTTCGTCTCTGTGTATTTTTTAAGAAACATTACTATATTAAATTTTATGAACTATTAGACTGAATCTAAGAACTGATTAAATTTTAAAAAAATTATGTTATCTAAAAAATTATTAAAAAAAAGATTAAAAAAGGGGAAAATTCCCAAAAAGAAGGTTGTCGCCAAACCAATCAACATGTTTTGTACATCAATTTGTGTAGCAAGAAATTTAAGGCCCCAAGTTAATGATTTTCTACACACAACACATCTGTGGGGTTCACTTGGGTAGGTAGGGTAGGTTATGATAAAGACAAGCCATTTCCAAAGGTATGACAAATATTGAATGTGATGGTGACACTATGTGGTATCACCCATCAATAGAAAATCGCAAATGGATTTGGACGGACACCCGTTGTCTTCCACTAACCCATGTATGTCATCTCTACTACCGTAATGCGAGATTTATCACTGATTGGTGATACAACCACACGTATCACTGTTACACCAAATATTTGCTTTTGATACTGCTCCTTTTGTCATGATTTCCTTAGGAATTGTTGCATTTGCCACTCACATATGTATGATTTTAGTTAATTTAACTGAGCATATAACCCTTGATAGACCAAAATAGCAAAAAATAATTCATGTTGTTTAGTGGGACACAAGACTTAGTTTGATTTGGTTTATACACTAAAATCACTCCCAACCAGTAGATCTGGATAAGGAGAGTATCATGTCAATTATAAGGAAGTTCACTTTGTTAATATTATTATTGTTGTTGTTATCATCATCATCATCGTCATCATCATCATCATCATTAATCATTATTATTAACTATCTTGAAAAGTTGAAATTATTAGGTTCGATCTAATCTTTAAGCTTGTCCCATTTATAAAAATGAAAATCCCTTTGGCCACTTATAATAGCCTAAATTTTCTCCTGCTTGATCTAGTTATGCATTGATGTTTTTGGTCAGATTTGCAAGGAAAATTCTATAAGGTGCAATTCATTGAGGTATGGAAGAAGAGTTGCAAGCAAGTTCAGTGACACCGGTGATGAATGTAGTTCAAAAGACAGACAGCAATGCTGATTCGACTAAGGTATCTATATGCTCTCTCTCTCTCTCTCTCTCTCTCTCTCTCTCCATTTGTCCTGGAATAAAACTGCTGTGCTGGCAGCACTTTGCCTGTGAGGGAATATGAAAATTATCCTTGATAAAATGTGGCCCATATTTATGGATGGATGTTGTGCTGCCACATAGCGAAGTCCTTCGTCCTCTTGCCACAACGATGAAATGTCAAATAACAAGAGTAATTCTTTATTATCATCACTATTGGCCTACTTCATTGATTGCAACTTAATAGTGCATAAATGCAGACAAATATATTTTTTTAGAACTCTTCCTTCGATGTAGGCTCAATAGTCTCAGCTACTCTAATGAAAGGAGGATTATCATTTTCCATGTCTGCAGAGCATATCAATCTGAGTACTAATCAATGACTTGGGGCATTTTTATATTCATTGCGGAATTAGAATAATTTTAGGTGCTGTCCTACGACATTTGAAAACAAAATATCCACCTGCTAGACTGGAGAGCTGTGAAGAAAATAGAGCCCTCACAATGATGGCTGTAAAATATTGAAAATAAATAAATAATGTCCATATATCTTTAATGTGTTCATACTAAACAAGCATACCTGAAAACAAAATACTTGTTTTAAATGCCACACAGCATGTTGCGATAAGAATCTTTAATTGCCAAGTAATTGCAGGAGTTGGTTGTGTTGATAGGGTGACAAAATCCAGTCTCCCCTTTCTTGATAAGAGTTTGTGGCTGTTTGTACAAAATTCATATACAGAATGCTAGGATTTTGAAGACATGTTTGAGGATATTGAGTTGTTGTGGGATATAATTTACTGCTTGGCTTCATTTTGGGTATCGGTGTCCTCTCCATTTAGAGGGATTCCTTTCCTTTTCATCTCATCTCATCAGATTGGAGAGCATTGGTGATGTGTAGGTCTGTTGCTTTGTTTTCCTTTGTTCTTTGGGTTTTTGTGGTGGACTTCTTGTCCTATTGATTGTATCTTCTTTTTTTCTTTTAATAAAATTCCTTTTGTTGCTGATCAAGAAATAAAATAAAATTTCATATACAAAATGATGTGCCTAATTGTGATTCCATCAGCTGATTGAAAAAAAAAATTGTGATTCCATCAAGTAAAAAGGGTAAAACCAGCACTTGGGATCATAATTTGATAACGTCATTGCCACATCATTCTGGATGCGATTTCTGTATGAAATTTCTGTTTGCATTCTATTTCGTATATGTTATACAATTAGCAAGAATCTAAATTTTCGGTAGTAACCTGGCACATTTCTTATTTTTATTGATTTTTATGGTATTTTTTGTCCCTTGTGTTTTGAAGGAACAAGTTCTACCAGATAGTTCTCATGATTTTTGCTATATGATGTTGAAAATTTTATTGCAGATAACCGATGGCAACTTGAACCAATTTTCAAAAGAAGGTATGAAAGAAGAGGAAGAAACTGCCTTTGAGGGAGAATTTATAAAAGTAGAGAAGGAATCCTTAGATGTGAAGGATGGTTTACGTAATGATGCTGAAACACCACCTGCTGTGGACGAGAAGTCTTCTGTTGAACGGAGCTCAAGCAATTCCTCCGTTAGCAGAGAATTTCTAGAAACCCAAGAAAAGGTGAAAGAACTTGAGCTTGAATTGGAAAGAGTAGCCGGAGCTCTAAAGCATTCTGAATCTGAGAATTCCCAGCTGAAGGATGAAGTCTCGATTACAAAGAAGAAGCTGGAGGAAAGTGGAAAGAGTTATGAAGAACTCGAACTTAATCACAAGAAACTGCAGGAACAGATCACGGAAGCTGAGGAGAGATACAATCTACAGCTTATTGGCTTGCAAGATGCATTGCAAGCTCAAGATGCAAAGCACAAGGAGCTGGTCAACGTGAAGGAAGCATTTGAAAGTCTCAGCCTTGAGCTTGAAAGCTCTAGAAAGAAGATGCAGGAGTTTGAACAAGAGTTGCAAATTTCCTCAGGTGAAGCAAGCAAGTTTGAGGAGTTGCATAGGCAAAGTGGTTCGTATGCTGAATCTGAGACAAAAAGGGCCTTAGAGTTTGAAAGATTGCTTGAACTGTCAAAGTCAAGTGCGAAAGAAATGGAAGATCAGATGGCTTCCCTGCAGGAAGAACTCAAGAGCCTCTATAAGAAGATTGCTGAAAACCAGAAGGTTGAAGAATCACTCAAGAGTACCACAGTCGAGCTTTCAATGGTTCAAGGAGAGTTGGAGCTTTCAAAATTACAAGTGCTGGAAATGGAGCAGAGGCTTGCTTCAAAGGAAGCTCTTGTACAAGAACTGACCCAAGAAGTAGATTTGAGAAAGGCTTCCGAATGTCAGTTAAAGGAAGATATCTCAGCACTAGAGAAATTGTTCTCTTCAACAAAAGAAGATTTTCAAGTTAAGGAGTCGGAGTTGGAAGAAATCAAATTGAAGTTGCAGGAGGAAGTGAATTCAAAGGAAACACAGGTTTCAATGATACAGGTGGAGCTGTCCAAAGTAACCGAAGAAAAAGAATCTCTTGAAGCTGCTGTGGCTGAGCTAACCAGTAATGCAGGTTTGATGAAGGAGTTATGCAATGATCTTGAGATGAAGTTGCAATTGTCTGATGAGAACTTTTGTAAAGCAGATTCTCTCCGGTCTCAGGCTTTGTTAAATATTGCTGAGCTGGAACAGAAGTTAAAATCTCTTGAAGAGCTCCATCACGAATCTGGATATGCAGCAGCAACTGCTCAACAAAAGAATCTTGAGCTCGAAGATATAATACAAGCTTCAAATGCAACAGCAGAAGAAGCTAAATCGCAACTGAGAGAGCTTGAGACACATTTTATAGCTGCAGAGCAGAGAAATGCTGAGCTCGAACAGCAGATAAATCTGGTGGAACTTAAGAGCAATGACGCTCAAAGAGAACTGAGAGAGTTTTCTGAAAAAATTTCTGAACTAAGTGCCACACTACAAGAGATCGAGGAAGAAAAGAAACAGCTAAGTGGCCAAATACAAGAATATGAGGATAAGATTACTCATCTGGAGTCTGCCTTGAACCTGTCCTCTTCCCGCAATTCCGAGCTGGAGCTTGGATTGAAGAATGTTGCTGAAAAGTGTGCTGAACATGAGGGCCGAGCCAATACAACACATCAGCGCAGCCTCGAACTAGAAGATTTAATCCAGATGTCTCGTTCAAAGGCAGACGATGCGGGCAAAAAGTTAAGTGAGATGGAACTGTTGCTCGAAGAAGAGAAATCCAGAATCCAGGAGCTTGAAGAACAAGTAAGCATGTTAGAAAAGAAATGTGGAGATGCAGAAGCTGAATCCAAGGAACACTTTGATAAAATCTCAGAAGTTAAGCTGGAACTTGAAGCATTCCAATCAAAAGCATCAAACCTTGAGGTTGCGCTACAAATGGCCAATGAAAAGGAAAGAGCACTGACTGGTTGCTTAAATGAAACAACAGATGAGAAGAAAAATTTAGAAGACGCATTGAGAAATTCCAGTGAGAAGCTAAGTGCCACACTGAGAGAGATCGAGGAAGAAAAGAAACAGCTGAGTAACAAAATACAAGAATATGAGGATAAGGTAACTCAATTGGAGTCCGCCTTGAACCAGTCCTCGTCACGCAATTCTGAGCTGGAGCTGGAATTGAAAAATGTTGCAGAAAAATGTGCTGAACATGAGGGCCGAGCCAATACAACACATCAGCGCAGCCTCGAACTAGAAGATTTAATCCAGATGTCTCATTCAAAGGCAGATGATGCGGGCAAAAAGGTAAGCGAGATGGAACTGCTGCTCGAAGCTGAGAAATCCAGAATCCAGGAGCTTGAAGAACAAATAAGCATGTTAGAAAAGAAATACGGGGATGCAGAAGCTGAACACTTCGACAAAATCTCAGAAGTTCAAATGGAACTTGAAGCATTCCATTCAAAAGCATCAAACCTTGAGGTTGCACTACAAATGGCCAATGAAAAGGAAAGAGAATTGACTGATTGCTTAAATGAAACGACGGATGGGAAGAAAACTTTAGAAGATGCATTGAGAAATTCTGGTGAGAAGCTGAGTGCCACACTACAAGAGATGGAGGAAGAAAAGAACCAGCTGAGTGGCCAAATACAAGAATATGAGGAGAAGATTACTCATCTGGAGTCTGCCTTGAACCAGTCCTCTTCACACATTTCCGAGCTGGAGCTGGAATTGAAGAATGTTGCAGAAAAATGTGCTGAACATGAGGGCCGAGCCAATACAACACATCAGCGCAGCCTTGAACTAGAAGATTTAATCCAGATGTCTCATTCAAAGGCAGACAATGCGGGCAAAAAGGTAAGTGAGATGGAACTGCTGCTCGAAGCAGAGAAATCAAAAATCCAGGAGCTTGAAGAACAAATAAGAATGTTAGAAAAGAAATACGGGGATGCGGAAGTTGAACACTTTGAGAAAATCTCAGAAGTTCAAATGGAACTTGAAGTATTCCAATCAAAAGCATCAAACCTTGAGGTTGCACTACAAATGGCCAATGAAAAGGAAAGAGCATTGACTGATTGCTTAAATGAAACAACAGATGGGAAGAAAAATTTAGAAGATGCATTAAGAAATTCCAGCGAGAAGCTAAGTGCCATGCTACAAGAGATGGAGGAAGAAAAGAAACAGCTGAGTGGCCAAATACGAGAATACGAGGATAAGATTACTCATCTGGAGTCTGCCTTGAAGCAGTCCTCTTCACTCATTTCCGAGCTGGAGCTGGAATTGAAGAATGTTGCAGAAAAATGTGCTGAACATGAAGGTCGAGCCACTACGACACATCAGCGTAGCCTTGAACTAGAAGATTTAATCCAGATGTCTCGTTCAAAATCAGATGATGCGGACAAAAAGGTTAGTGAGATGGAACTGTTGCTTGAAGCAGAGAAATGCAGAATCCAGGAGCTTGAAGAACAAATAAGCATGTTAGAAAAGAAATGTGGGGATGCAGAAGCTGAATCCAAGGAACACTTTGATAAAATCTCAGAAGTTAAACTGGAACTTGAAGCATTCCAATCAAAAGCATCAAACCTTGAGGTTGTGCTACAAACGGCCAATGAAAAGGAAAGAGCATTGACTGATTGCTTAAATGTAATGACAGACGAGAAGAAAAATTTAGAAGATGCAGTGAGAAATTCCAGTGAGAAGTTGGCTGAAACTGAGACCCTCCTTGAAGCTTTGCGGAATGAATTGGATCTGACTCAACAGAAATTGGGAAGCATTGAAAATGACTTTAAAGCTGCTGGGATGAGGGAAAGTGAGATTATGGTGAAGCTGAAGTCTGCTGAAGAGCAACTAGAGCATCTAGGTACAGTATTAGAGCAAACTGCTGTGAGAAACTCGGAGCTTGAATCATTACATGAATCTTTAACCAGGGATACAGAGTTGAAACTCCAAGAAGCAACTGCAAATTTCACCACCAGAGATTCAGAGGCTAAGTCACTCTATGAGAAACTAAAGCTTCTTGAAAATCAAGTAAAGGCTTATGAGGAGCAAATAGCCGAAGCAGCTGAAAGATCGGCATTTGTGAAGGAAGAATTGGATCAGATTTCAATGAAATTTGCCTCTTCCGAGATGACTAATGAGGAACTCAAACGAAAGATTTCAGAGGCAGAAGATAAAGCTGCACAGTTTTTCTCAGAGAATGAACTGTTAATTGAGACAAATACACAGCTCAAAAGCAACGTTAATGAGCTTCAAGAATTACTGAACTCTGCTTATGCTGAAAAGGAAGCTGCTGCTCAGCAACTGGCTTCTCACATGAATACCATTACTGAATTAACAGAGCAGCACACAAAAGCATCTGAACTTCTCTTGGTAGCTGAAGCCCGGATTTCAGAGGCTGAAAGAGAGTTAGAAGCAGCCATTCAGAAATTTAGTCAGAGAGATTTAGAAGCTGGAGATTTGACTGCTAAGCTAAATGCACTCCAAAGCCAGGTAAAAATGTATGAAGAACAGGCTCATGAAGCAGTTGGTGTCGCAGAAACTCGAAAAATTGAGCTTGAACAAACCCTATTGAAATTGAAGGATTTGGAAGGCATCATTGAAGAGATGCAAAACAAGTCAGGTCAATTTGAGAAAGAGAGAGAAGGGCTGGCTGACTTGAATTTAAAGCTTACTCAGGAGCTGGCCACATATGAGTCCAAATTAAAGGATCTACAAGGCACAACTGTTGCTGAGAAGGATGAAACACTGGAACAGCTTTCATCTTCAAAGAAATTGATAGAAAGTTTGACCGAGCAGCTTACGCTTGAAGAGGAGAAAGTACAATCTCAGGTATGTGCCTTGTGAAAATATTACTGCCTTTCATTTATCTTTTAATTTTTTGGATAAAGAAACTGGATTTGTGAAGTCGTTGAAGAACTGTTCTTGATTTCTATTTCCAATTGAACAGAGAGAAGCAGATTCTCAAAAGGACTTTGAAAGAGAAGCTGCTTTGAAGCATTCCTTTGAAGAGCTTGAAGCTAAGAACAAAGTGGTCATACTTCTAGAAGAGCAAGTGAAAGTGCTTGAGCAGAAATTGCAGCTAGCTGAGACTAAATCCAAAGAAAAGGTCTGTTTTGTCCTTAATTGTGTGAACATAGATACGTGTCTGCATGCACATCTACATGTGCTTTCATTACATTCAATTATTTATTATAAATGTCATCTCTGATTTATGTCATATAATAGTTCATATATATATATACATTAAAATCTCTGCTAGCTCGTCTTGTAGAGTCTACACCATAATCTATGTTATCATCTCTACTAGAGTAGGAGTTAGATCCAACTGTGGAAGTGAACTCTATTGAGGGTCTATAATGAATGAGTGGTGAAAAGCAAAGTTTTAAAAGACTTTATTGATGCTCACCTTGAGGCATGACTCATGCAATACGTATCAAGGTTTTGATTTTAGGCAACGCTCTCGGAAGGCTCTCGCATATGCCTTTTGTGTATAAACATACGAAGAGTATACATATGGAATGCTTGTTTGGGTTGTTAAACTTAGTCTAATACATGATTTAAATATATATATATATATATAAATCCTCTTTTGTAATTATATTAAATGAGAAAAATCAAGTAAATGACCAACCAAAAATAAATACGTAAATACAAAGCTAAAGCTCAAGTGAGAAGCTCAATAACTGAAACTAAGAATGTCATTTTGACCTTTATATTTAATTTTTAATAGTTTTTGGTATTTTAAAAATATTTTATTTATTTGCTACATATAAAAATTGAAATTTGAAATGCTTGTGCCTTGAAGCCTTGAGGCTTACATCTTGCCTCATGAGGGGTAAAACGCCTTGCATTTTGCATTCGCCTTTATAAAACTTTGGTGAGAAGGAGCATTATTTCAATATAAGCAAGAGGCTTGATTGGCATGTTTACATATCGGCCATTCACAGGACCATGCAGCAACATGGTGGATTTTGGCAAATCCATCGTCATTTGCTGAGTTGGAGACGAGGATAGATAGGTGAATGGACCTTTTATATTTTAATTATGGGAAAAAAAGATTGCATCCTGAGATAAATGAGCTTGTCATTAATGCATAACAAAAATAATACCAGCCATCATCTAGTCGAATGCTGCCGAACTTGTTAATGATGTTTCTATATCCGTTTTAAATCAGTCTTACATTTGAGATTAGTTCTTCAGTCAAAATCTAAACTGAAACATATTGTATTGCAGAATGATGGTGGAGGCAGTCCAATTGAATTGAAATCTAGAGATATTGGATCAACAATTTCAACTCCATCAAAACGGAAGAGTAAGAAAAAACTAGAAGCTGCATCTGCAGAAATACCGTCCTCGGGGACCCATACTCAATCCACTGAGGGTTCTCCCATCATGACCTTGAAGTTCATGTTAGGCGTGGCCCTGGTGTCCGTGATCATTGGCATAATTCTTGGGAAACGGTATTAGTAATGGATTCCAAGATTTTAGTTTTGCCTATATTTTGTTTTTTGTTTTGTATTTTTTTCATTTTTTATGGTTTATTTCATGCACAGCAGATTGGAAAGTTTTGTCAGTATGCTTGTTGAGTTCAGGGTTTGAAGTTGGTCAGGGAATTTGTTTTTCATTTCAATCCCTAGCCTGTTTGCAAAGGAAAAAAACAGTAGATTCATGTAATCATTTTATGTTTGTATTTAGTGTTTGATTGTTTTTGTTGTAATGTCTTTAGGTAGCTTTTGGTAGTAACTTTGTAATTTCATTGAAAAGTTTCTGTGCTAGAACTTAGAAGGAACATGTGTTTTCCATCCATATGTAGGCAGTGCTGTTGCATATTTTAATTTACAAATTACAAAACAATGACTCCCCTCGTACTATTTCTTTTATTAAAGATAGTACCCCCCTCCTACTAATTAAAACATCAAAATTTTATTCTTTGTTCATAATAATGAGGGTCCTATGCTTCGTTTCCACTACCATTGTAAATAAATAGTGAAATTAGGATATTTCATGTGGTGTTCGTAGTTGACTCATTACAAAATACATTTCTTGCATAACAATTGATTCATTGACCAATATGACAATGTTAGTTTTTTTTCTTCTTTTTATATTATTAATACATACATATTATTTTTATTTTTTTGTCACAAGAAAATTGTCAGATAAACACTTTGCTCCCTCAAGGTTTAAGTTTTCCTAACATTTTGTTCCTTTACCATCAATCGTGCTGCTAGTATTATGGATAAAAAATGATATTATCATCTCAATACAGACATTATATACATTTGTTTTACTATTTCTAAAAAAATAATGTAATTATATCATATTTATGAGATTTACTATATATATGTACATGGAGCAAATATTCGTCGCTATTCGTACTCTTCGTGTCCAAACTTCACTTCGAATAACTTGAGAACACAATGACGGTGAGCTACCCGATGGGTGTGTTGCTGAAAACCCTCTCTGACGGTCAAGTTAGCACTCGTAGCAAGGAAGAGAAAAAGAGAGAGAGAGGAGACAAAGTGGTAGGTGAGCTCTGATCACAAGATTTTCCAGGCCTGTGTATGGAGGCATAACACCGTTTATATAGTTTTTGCACGCGTCTTTGCGTCCATCCCCATTTGGATGCGTGGACCTGCTCTTCTTTTACGTTCTCCTACGTGTCAGCGCTAATACAACTAAACATCAAATGATGAAATCACCAAACGGTATTAACGCGTGCAGACGACGAAATCTTCTTTTCGCGGCCTCAGTGCGCCGTATAGCGTTTACTACCGAGCTATGCTTAGCGCGACGCCATGCCCTTCCTTCAGGACTGCTCTACCGATCTGGCCTTGCCGGCTAGGCCTGAGTATTGGCTCAACTGAGCTCCACGGTCACGACTGAGCTCCTGTTCGGTTGCATCTAGTCTTCTGTGGACGAACTCCGTCGGACTCACACGGCGCACATTTCTGAGTCATGCCAGTACCTCAAACTCACTTTGCAAGACCAGGCTGATATCCCGCCCTAACACATGCCATGCGCCTGACCGTGCTCAAATCTCGCTCGATCGTGTGGGCTTGTTTTTTCGGAGCACATGCCTCAACTAAGGCCCAAACTAGCTCAACTTACAGCAGGCTATGAATCTCCCTCTTAATTGACCCTTAATTCCGTCTGCGCTAACGTGACCAGGATTACATTCAGTAGCCGAGCTTATTTCTTTGCTCGATCGTCATCTGCCTGGCTTCACACCTAAGTACCCGTGCTCCCAGGTCGGTTCACCACCTTTAACCGTGCTAGTTAGCACGCTCGGTCATATAGCTTGCCCGGTTAATGATTTGGGTTTTCAGCCTGTCTTTTCGAGACTGGCACCGGTTTCATCATAGACACGCGGCGTTCACTGATTAGCCTCGTACTGCTATCCAGCTGTTATGTGTTGTCTCCTTAGATTCAAACTTTGGTGCTTATACAACTCATACCCATATATCGCACATCTCTTCATATCTCAACCTCTACTATTCATCTTCTTCTCAAACGACCCAGCAAGTCAGAGCATCCAATCTCCAATTTCTGTTCACTGTACTCGAATTGGAGCATTCCCTCTAGCGGATTCGGTCTTGTCGTCGTTGTCGAGTACTTTCTTCCGATTGGAGCGTTGATTGTGGCCCTCATTTGGTGTGTTCTTCATGTTCCCCTGCTACAGTTTCTCTTTCTTCTTGTTCTTCGTGTTCTTGAACTATAACTCACATATCCGTCCATTGAGGAAGATTAAAACAACCAGACATTACCAAAAACTGGATTAGGTTAGGGTTTTGACCCATTTTGATGTCGAAAAGTATCTTCGTCCCTCGTCTCCGACACTGTTCATCATCTTCTGTGATGAACATGTGGGAATCTGGGACAGACCAGGCTACAAACCCCTGTTTGATCCAAAATCATGACATGGCCCAGCAAGTTTCTTGTTCGCAGAACTTAGGGGGAAGAAAATTGAGCTAGTAGATGCATTAGGTCGCTCGACCAGGCTAATATCTGGTTCGCTCGGGCGACCAAAGTGCTACTGCGCCCATAGTGACTGAGCTAAACTCCAGCTCATTTGCGCGATCGAGTTATCACTTATACTTGGTTTTTAATTGCAGAATCCTAGGAGGCCAGGCACACTAGCACAAGGGCTCTCAAAGACCGAGCAACCATCGTGCACAACTCAACTTTGCTGAGAAAAATCGATCTGGCTTATTATGGGGCGCTATCGCTTCCTTATAAACACGTCGGTCGCTTTGGCCGCATTTCAAGAGGAATATGGTGTCCTAGCCGATGTGCATTTAGAGCTCAGTGAGGAGGACATAGACCCATAGGGCAGATTGGAGTCTTGCCCCATTTACCATGCTGAGTATAATCGAGGGGGGGGGCTGCATTTTCCCATGCAACCATTGATTTGTGAATTTTTGAGACGCACCGAGCTAGCTCCCACACATGTATCGACCAACACTTATAAGATCATAAACGGAGTGGCCAAGCTGAACAATCGACTAGGATTACAGTTGGGTTTGGTCAAAATTTTGCGTCAATATATGCTCAGTCGTACGAAAGATGGCTACAACTATTATTTGAAAATATGACTGGGCAGAGAACGTCTAGTAACCGGTACATCGAACAAGGACATACATGATGATGACTTTTTTTGGGTGTTCGGTAACTATGAGATAGCTGACGTGCCCGGTTGGTACATTAGCAAGAACTTCGGTGCTTCTTGTAAGCCAAGCTTCCTAGTTAATTCACTTTGTCAATATTCATTGTACTGAGCTAATTACCTTCCTTTTGCAGTTATTGAAGAGTTATAAGCCAATTATCTTTATCCAAACGAAGAGGCGATCAGGGCCGCATTAAGATATTGGCACCGAGATTGCCATGAGCTTTTTGGCTACGTACCGAGCTACCGATATTCAGCACCACAGAAGAGCAAGGTTACCAACTTCCTTTGGGTGCCTTCTCCTTCACCTAACCCAACTTTGCCTCACATGCCCTTAATTTGGTTGATAGAGGAGTAAGAAATGGCAAAGAAGAGTCGAATTAAGAACTTAATCACCGCCACTTCCACCGAGCTATCGAGCAACCCATGTCCTACATCGACCGCTGGCTAAAGCTCAGGGACTGTGATTACCTTGGCTTCCACGGCCGTTCCAAACGCCGAGAAGCGCCGGACTAGTAAACGGGCCCACTCGATTGATCCCTCAGTTGAGTTGGAGGTCAAACTCAATGCTGAGCACGTGGTGACCGAAGTTAAGTCGGTTTCGGCATGACAGCCGAGGTTGAAATCCCGAGGAGGTCCCATCCCGGCTAATGCTTCTATGAAGGGGGATAAGGAGCATCTACTTGCCTTCGATCTCTCCAAGTCCTTACTACTACCAGAGGATATGGTAGGGACCGAACATGTTCCAGACACCTGGCTTGTCAAGTCCGCAGTGAAATCAATAATGAGGGTAAGATTTTCAAATTCGAAATTTTGCTAATTGTTTGCTCAGTTTGTTGCTTGCTTAGGCTAACTTTTGATTTCTTGCAGGCTATTCAAAAACAACATCTCGTCATGGACCGCATTATCAATTTGCGGCAAAAAGTGACCGACCTAAATGCTGCCCGGAAGAATGTCTCGGCCGAGTTGGGCCAAACTAAAGCTTCGCTCGAGATTGCAAATGCTAACAACACGAGGCTCCTCAGACAGCTCGACAGGGCCAAGTAAGAGCGAGACGCCCGGAAGGCCAAGCTAGAGGATGTGAAGAAGGTGAGACAGAAAGATGTGGACGAGGCCAATAATCTCGGCTTCAAGGAGGCTGAGGAGAGCTACACTAAGCAAGTTGAAGCCACCAAGGACATCTTCTTCAAGTCCAGTTGGAAGGCGGCTTGTGAGCGACTTGGTTAGGGATCTGAAACTGAGGTGTTCACCTCTCCTCCTCTTGCCTTCCTGCCGGTCTACATGGTGCCATATGCTAACGATGTTTTCAATTCGTTGCAAGAGAAGGCCGATGAGGATGCCAAGGAAGAAGCCGAGGAAGGAGGCGGCCAAAATGCGACCAGTCAAAAGGAGCACTGCGAAGTGGCTGCCGTGGTTGATCTTGAGAAAACCAGCGCTGGAACTGGAGACGCCTTCGCTAATCTCTCCCCCCTCCTTTAGCTTAGCCTTGTATTTTCATTTGTTTTTCTTTTGGACTGTTTGTAACCGGGCAACTAGCCCTAACTCCTGTATTTGCAATCCCCAATCAATGAAAAAGTTATGCAACTTTTGTGACTCGCTATTACATTGTGTTCCTTCTTTCCAACCGTGCAATATTCTTGAACAAAGCATCTATTCATATAATCGGGCAAGGCACCTCGACGATACATGAAATCTTTTAGCCGTGCAAATACCCCGGCTACAGCTTGGAGTTGAATAAGTCATCAAATGCTTTAGCCGGTGGAGTTGGACAAGTCATCAACTCCTTCGGTCGAGCAAAACGACTCGGCTAAGAACTTGGAGTTGAACAAATCATCAACTTATTTAGCCGGGCAAAACACCTCGGCTGAAAACTTGGAGTTGAACAAATTATTAACTCATTTAGCCGGGCAAAACACCTCAGCTTAAAACTTGGGGTTGAACAGGTTATCAACTTATTTAGCCGGGCAAAACACCTCAGCTAAAAACTTGGGGTTGAACAAGTCATTAACTTATTTAGCTGGGCAAAACACCTCGGCCAAAAACTTGGAGTTGAACAAACCATCAACTCTTTTAGACGGGCAAATTTTCTTCGGCTAAAAGTCTGGAGTTGAACAATTCATCA